ATTTTTAACTTTGAGCTTGAGTTTTTTCATTGAAAAAGCTTGCTTCGTGTATACGAGATCATATTTTAAGTTTTTTTAAAATTTTCACACACATTTGTAATACCTCAAACAACAAGGTTCAAAAATATTGTAGAGAAGATAGGGCTGGTTTGCGAAGTATTCAAGTTTAAGGGTGTACTGACATATCCGTTGCTAGGGAAATTCAGTAGTTCTCTAAAATGACAAACAAAAGTAAAATCGCTTTCGTATTGAGTATTTTAAAAGCCTTCCCAAACAAAAATAACACATTCTATGACGTCATTGTATGACGTCATCGCGTGACGTCATTAACACGAAAAAATGCTATAATTTCATCAAGCAAAGTATATTAGACGATTTAAAATGGATGAAATTAATCTTTAGGTCTAAGTCCGTAAAGCCAAGCATGCGTTTTTAGAATGATTGCCAAATAAGCTTTTTACGATTTTTTAAATGCCACAAATTTTTAATTTTTCGCCAAACCCATGCTTGGTTCTGAAGAGGAGGCTGTGAAGAACATAAATATTGAAAAAAAAACACGTCCATTTGATGTTTCGCAACGAAGATGATACCATACATTTTATGTAAACAAAAACCTTTCCACCGCCATGAAAACGCGCGCGCGTCCACTTCTCCGATTGGCTAGCATCGGCTAGCATAGCAACCAGGTCGTCTAGAAACGGATACGTCAGTACACCCTTAAGTATTTTCCAGGATTTCCCCAAAATCTATATTTGACATATTTTGGTCTTTTATCATTCATTTGACAAAATATTAATCTGATCAAAGCAAAATACATTGCATTTCGATGCTTTTCTTTCGTCATGGTCGGTACTAAAAACAACYCTTCCCAGATACCTTAATTCGTGAATTGTATTGGGCACATGTGAAGTTCGGCGTATAGCGCGGGCCTAATATAATAGAATCAAACTACGAACTACTCAGAATACTTTACGAAACATCGAGTTTTCTTGTCGTAATAAATTTATTTTTAGAGTAAAAATCATAAAAGAGGACGTTATTCTTTTTGTTACATTAGAAAAGGCATTTTCAGCTCTCAAATTATTACTATGATTAATGATTTGAGCTCTTCAACCAAGAACAACATAACACAAACAATGTAAAAAGTCTGTACCAATTCCTTAGATGCCGTTACATCATTTGAATTTTCAAATGTATATAACTTAGAAAATACAATTCAAAATCTATTTCTTTCTTCACAGAAGTACTTGTCAGCGTCGGATAAAAGTGATTTTCTAAAAGGTGTCATATGCACT